ACATCTCCACGGCTTGGAAACCCCTCCAGGGGTGGGGACTCCACCACTGCCCTGGGCAGCCTGGCACAGCCCTGGACAACCTTCAAGGGCAAGAAATTGTTCCTTGGGGCCAACCTCAACCTCCCGTGAGGCAACATCAGCCCATTGCCTCTTGTCCTGTCCCTCGTTCCTTAGGAGAAGAGCCCGACCCCCACCTGGCTCCAGCCTCCTGTCAGGGAGCTGTGGAGAGCCAGAAGGTCTCCCCTGAGCCTCCTTTGCTCCAGGCTCAGCACCCCCAGCTCCCTCAGCTGCTCCTCACCACACTTGGGCTCTAGACCCTTCCCCAGCAGCTTTGTTGCCCTTCTCTGGCCAATGTCCATCACCTCCAGGTCCTTCTGGGAGGGAGGGGCCCAAAACTGACCCCAGGATTCCAGGGGCAGCCTCCCCAGTGCCCAGTGCAGGGGGACGATCCTTGCCCTGCCCCTGCTGGCCACGCTGATCCTGGATGGTCCTCTTGGCCATCCAAGCCAGGGTGCTGGTGGCCTTCTTGGCCCCCTGGGCACACGCTGCCTCATCTCCAGCTGCCTGTCCACCGACCCTCCAGGTCCTTTCCCTGGGGCACTTTCCAGCCCCTCTGCCCCAGCCTGGAGTGCTGCAGGGGGTGGTTGTGACCCAAGGGCAGGACCCGGCCCTTGGCCTCGTTGAACCTCATCCCGTTGTCCTCAGCCCATCCATCCAGCCTGGCCACGGCAGACTGAGCTCCATCCCACCTCATTCCTGGAGTCGCTCAGGGTTCAGGGTGTCCCACCCCACCCTCATAGTGCCCACTGAGCACTGGCAATCTCATTTCAGCTCCGTCCCTCAGCCCTGCAGCACCACCAGCACTGATCCTGATCCTGACCTGGGAGTCAGCCCTGAGGCTGCTCTAAGCTGCTCAGCAGCAGCTTTTCGCTGATCCTCTGTGTCCTGGCCCCACGCTGGCCCTGGTGCCAGGCAGGGGATTTGGGCTGATCCCAGCCCACGGGGTCAGGGTGGCGCTGGAGGCTCTGGGGGGGCTGCAGGGGCTTTGGAGGTTGCCCCTGGCCCCCAGCCTCACCCACATCTCCTGGCAGTGACGTGGCGGTGGAGTTGCCCTTCACGCTGATGCATCCCAAACCCAAGGAGGAACCGGTGCACAGGGACGGTGAGTGCCCACGCCCTGGCACGTGGGGCAGCCCCACTGTGCCAGAGCCATCACATCGGGACGGCTGGGAAAGACCTCCAAGGTCATCAACTCCAACCCTCCACCCAACGCTGCCATGACCACTAAACTGTGACCCAAGTGCCACGTCCACACGTTTCTTGAACCCCTCCAGGGCTGGGGACTCCAGCACCTCCCTGGGCAGCCTGGGCCAAGGCCTCACCACTCTGCCAGGAAAGAAATTCTGCCTCAGGTCCAATGGAAACCTCCCCTGGGGCAACTTCAGCCCAGTGCCTCTTGTCCTGTCCCTTGTTCCTTGGGCGAAGAGCCCGACCCCCACCTGGCTGCAGCCTCCTGTCAGGGAGCTGTGGAGAGCCAGAAGGTCTCCCCTGAGCCTCCACAGCTCCAGGTTCAGCGCCCCTAGCTCCCTCAGCTGCTTCTCACAAGCCATATTCCCCAGCCCCCTCCCCAGCTTTGTTGCCTCTTCTCCAGCCCCTCAAGGTCTTCTCCTGTGGCACCATTTTCTGGCTGGGGGTGGGAGGCAGAGGGCTTGGTGAGGCCGCGTGGTGCCAATGGAGATTTTTGGCTCCTTTTGAGCTGAATCTCATCCACGGAGCTAAAACGGTGTCCCCGGAGCATGGGGGGGTCGGCGGTGACGGGACGTGGAACCGGCAGCCCCCACTCTACCCCTGATCCCTTCCCTCTCCTCAGTTCCAGAGAATGAAGCACCCATAGATACAAACCTGATAGAGCTCGACACAAAGTAAGAGACCCCCAAAATCCTCCCCTACCCCCTGCAAATCTCCTTCCCCGGGCTGTGTGTGGGACAGCAAAGCGCTTG